AACAGTCTGTTTTGAGGCTAAAGCCAGTGAACTCACGCTTGACTGGAAAAGGAGAAAGAGAAGCACAGAGAAAGTAGTCTAGTAAATTCTTCTCTCATGCTGAAGGTTCTTCTCTGTAATTAAATATAAAGAAGGGAAGAGACTGGTCTTTTTAGACATCATTATATTTTTTCTTTCAGTCTCCTAGAAAACTTTTACCAAAGGTAAAAGTTAAACAGCTTCATTTGTAATATAAAAGGATTTCCTGAATTTACATGGGAATCAAAAGCAAATATGTAATTACTGGCCATTAAATAGACTCATTGGCTTCAAACAGCTTTCCCAAAAGACAAAAAGACCATAAGGCATCCATACACAGGCACTGCAGACACAGACACAGTTTTCTCTATACTAGAAGCAAATATAACAGTTGGAAACTGAGTATTACACAATGGAAAGTGTCTTTGTAAAGATACGATATGATAGCATACTCCCCTTTAAGTATTCCTACTTGAGTTAAGTGGGCACCAAGGATTTAAAGAGAGCCTGGAAAAGCAAATTTTGAAAGGCATAAGTGCCTTAAGTGATTCAAGCATTTAAAATGTCAATGACCTTTAGTATTTTTGCCTCTTTAAAAAGGCTATTGTATAGATGCCATACCCTTCTGTCAGCAACATCTCATATTGTACACCATGCAACAACAGACCCTGCATTGACAAGGCCACTTGTCTCAACTTTCAGCTTCAATCCAGCCAAGCCATAAGAATGCAAAAATGGACAATAGCTCCATATACAACACAACAACAGTACAATGAAAGCACATCAGCAAAGCATTCCTAGGAAAGTCTAACAGCAAGAAGCCTAAATAATCAGTAGCACTTCCTCATTTGCAGCCATCAGTATCAGAAATTCCAAGAGTCCACAAAAATATCTCTGTGAGTGTCAATGAGATCTTTCTAACAGCAGCTTCTCCAAATTCCTTCAAAACCTGATGTAAGGCCATAGCATCTTCTAGCTCCCCTGACAAGGGGTTCCACAGCCCTCTATTTAGTATCTCAATAATTACTTTTGTCTGGTGTTGAAACCCTTACCTGCCAAGAACACTCATCTGGTGTCCTTTAACTGCTGTACCAAAAGAATGGACAGTCATTTCCTCTCCACCCTCTCTTACATTTCTTTTGGCCAGTACTGTTATATCCCTTATTCATGTCCCTCAACTAAGATGAAAAGGTGAAATGATCCTAACTTATTTAGACATTCCTCATATGCAAAATATTACATACCTTTGCATCAGTCCTGACTCTTCTGCCTGTATCTTCTCTATTTCCTAAACTTTCCACCAAGATGATCAAACAAACTATAGTTATGAATTCACTGTATTGTAACTGCAAGATGTATTGTAATCCACTTTTCACACCACTTGCAGAAGCTCAGAGACAATCTCTGCCTATGCCACACAAATTTACCTAAAGTCAATCTTTGGTCTATGCCATTTTCAGATTTAAACACTCCTTTGTTCCTGAAAGGGCAGGACAGATGCAAGCAATAAGAGGAAGAGTTCATTGACATGAATTATGCTTAAGCTCTAAGAGACTTTAAAGCAATATAATAAAAACAAAGCGTGTCCAGCACAAGGAGGTCCAATCTAAAGCAGCAGACCATGTGATTCTCCCAAACGACAGAGCCCTACTTTTTCCTTTACATGAAGTTGCTGCTGTCACAGATTAGTCTAAGGCATAAGCCCTGAATGACCTAACTAAACTTTTTATTTCATGCACTTGGAAAAAAGAAAAAAACCCACTTGATTTATTTTCCAAGTTTTGCCTGAAAGTGGAATGGCAAATCTAGAAGACAGAAAAATAAAAACTACTACAGTACATAGCACTGCTGAGCAAAAGCATGTAATTAATACCCAGCCCATCATCATTCCCAGAAATAAAGCTCATCTGTAACATGTTGTGGGCTCCAATACAACTCCATTCATAGTGGTTTTCTCACATTTCCTTTTCTGCTTATTGCTTATTCTTTCCTGGCTTTTATGTAAGTCCTGGGAAAATATATGCAAGGATGACTTCCAAGTGACAAGAATTTTGCATGTAAAAAGGAAATTATTAGCAGTAATAACTTTCATCCAGAAAGTAATAACTTGAAGAAATCCTAAGCATGTATGTCAATATCAACAGAGATGGCAAATTAACACAACACTGGAAATTAAAACAATCAGATGTCTGAAGTAAACTGACACCAAGATCTTTACATACGTTGTTCCATGAGTAAGTTCTATGTTCTGTGTAAAGGTTCTATGAAACTGTCAAAAGAAACAGAAAAGAATCCAAACTTCCCAATTTACTTCACGGTACAAACAGGAATTATACTTCCACACATTAACACATTCAAGAGAATATTTTGAAAAGTGTGAGGGCTCCCTCTTCTGACAACACTTTGACCAGACTGCAGAACTTGTAGGCTTGTGTTGCTCCAGAAAAACATCTTGACTCACATACGTGATACTTATTTCCTATTAGTTAAGAAAGCCAGGAGTGTTTTCATCTTAAGGGAAAATAAACCTAAGCCAAATAAACTGGTAATTACTGTTGTTACAAAAAAAATTGACTTGAACCTTACAAAGTAGTGTTTAAAAATAATGCATATTTTTATAGTGTAACTTGCAAAGAAATACGTAAATATGAAGCCCAGTGCAAGACTGATATGACAGTATTTAAGAGATTAAGAGATGAGGTGAGCTGCATCCATAATCAGAAGATAAAATAACAAATGGTACTTTATGACCAAACACAGACCTATTGAAGTAATTTCTGAATAATCCTCAAAAGCAAGACACCACTAGATTTATGGACAGCTACCTGCTAAATCAGACTACAAAATCTTTGGTAAAGCAGGCACTGAAAGTCAATAGTGCCCAACAATATAGATACATATCTGACAGTCACAGACTCTGTTTTAATCTTTTTCTTTTTTGTGACCACATCTTCTGTTGAGCTGCTGCCACTCCCTTTGGGCTGATTACTCAGGCCAGCTTTCCTTTTAACCAACCCCCTCAGTTTTGGGTGGGCAAACATGAAACAGCTCCTCTGTACCCTCAAAATCATAGGATAAACAAGAAAATACACAGACCATAGTCCTTAATCATTAACTCACAAATACAATAAATTCAAAAACACTACAGCTCACTACAGCCAGTATATTCAGGTCATTTCCACAGAGGATATCAACTTTCACACAAGTGCTGCTTACTTGAACAGACTGCAAGCATTCTTTGAAAACAGATGCCTTGTTAATTTACAAAACTTGGAACGTTCACACATCCCCTTAAATTTCCCTGCAACATCTCTCCACATGTCCTGTTCATACAAAATGAAAACTCAATACATTCAATAAAGCAAGCCAGGGCTTGCTTTTGCTCCTGTGGTCTACAAGAGGCGACTCTGTCGCAACCCCTTAACTATTTCTTTAAAATACTGTTGCACACTCTTTTAACTTAGTTGAAAATCTGTGTATGAAACAGATCTCCTCCCTTCATCTGAGAACCACACAAATAAATCATCATTCCCAGGATTCAAAAATTTTCTTTTCATCCTCATGCAAGATTGATGCCCGATCCCTAGTTTATTTCCTGATTGTTCCCTCTCCTCTGGAGACAGCTGATATTACTTACGCTCTCTGGCTGATGATCTCTGAATCTAATCACCCAGAGTTTCTGAAATCCCAAGCACAGTGTGAACACATCAGGACAAGCTCAGTTGTACTTGTAGCAATCTAATGCAAATCTGGTACATTCCTGAGTCAGATTTTTAAGTGAACAGCACTCATACTTTAAAACATTCTAACTTAAGTATGTTTACTTCTGTAGCACACAAGTGAACTGAACAGGCCATGGTAATTTTGCTTAGCAGGAGAGTCAACAGGAGCAGAGATTGACTGTCCACAGCCTTTACAATGGAGCCATGGCAGCAAGCCCAGAGATAGAGGGAGAGCACTAAATCTGCAAGATGGGTGAGCACAGCAGCTCTTGTGGCTTGCAACTACGATACCACTGGGATTTTTATAGATGCCTTTTGTCACTAGTAATACTGCGCTGCATGCAAAAGAAAATTCATTCTGTGAAAGAGCAGTCCTCACACGCAATGGAGACAGGCAACAGAGAGAACAAACAGAACAGCTCCTCCGATCACATGGTCTAAGCAGACATCTACTTATATATATAACGAACAAAATTCACTTCAAATTTAATTTCCACTGAGTCTTAATGCAGCTTAGCAAGCCCCTCCCAAGAAAACAAGTACTTGTGTTTTAGAAGTACTTCTGAAGTGTTGAAGAAAAATACAATTTCTACTGCATCTCATTTAATCTTTCATTATGCTTCAATTAATAGTTTCTGATTTTCAGTCAGGATGTACATTAATAATCCAATTTGCATTTGAGACCTACTATTCATTTCTCTTTTCCATCCTCCCCATGAAAGTACTAATACCTAATACTTGAAACTATAAAACCCACCACAGTTTTTCAAAGACTCTACAGTTTAAATCCACCATCTCACCAGATCTCAAAATTTTCCTGCTATACCAGCAAGGCACAGTCAATACAAACACCAACCACTGCAATGTAACACTAAAGTTTTACAAAAAAAAGGAAAAAAAAGACTAACACTTTTTAAAACAAAAAAAAACAAAACATTGCACTGGAATTATTAATACAATTTCTTAATAAATATGGTTGTCATAAAACAGGAAAAGAGCATTTTTCACTTTACCTTCAAGAAGCTCAGATATTACTGAAGAACCCAAATTACATGTATAAAATTTAAAATTAAGCCATTTTATAAAGTATAATTATTGTTTCAGCTGAAGTTACCAGCCACATAGCTGCTCACTTAGATGTCTGACAACTGGAAACATTTACTCTTGAAATTGGAAATAAAGTCAAAAGCATTGAGACATATAGGCAAAATAGTCACTTTTATATTACTATTCTTCCTATTTTAAATCAACTTGTTTTACCTTCTCACAGAAGTCAGTAAGAGCTGTGAAGTCCCATTTCTTGGAATAAGCAACGTTGTACCTCAATATGGCCTCCTAAGGAAGAAGCATAACAAAACAGAGCTTAAGAGATAATTATTAATGGAAGAAAAACGATTTTAGGAAATTTCCCTGTTGAAAGAACAGCACCATCTGGTGGCTAAAATCTGCCACAGAGCCTACCAAAATCTGTAACACTTAATTTGCTCCACTAATATAGAGCAAATCCTTGATACTGAACCCTCTGTTTTGGGTCTAGCAAGGAATAAGCTTCAGTCTATAGGGTTTTTTCTCATAATACAAAACAAGACAAGGCATATCTCCCAACAAAGAACATAAATGTTCCTCGTTCCACACTTGCTTTTGTTAACAGTACCAATAAAAGGTATTTAAAGTATAAAAACAATATAGCAGAAGTTGTACCGGTTTAGGAACTTAATCAGAACCACAGCAAAATTAAATAGATCCTTTATGACAATATCACCCTTAAAAATTCACAAGAAGGAAAAAAAAACTAAATGAAATAACAAAGTTGCTGGGGAAGCTCTATTTATTTATTTAAAGGTTATCTATGGCTTTTGCATCCTTCTCCTTCCCTGCTTTTCAGGTATAACCTAAATTACATTATTCTTCACCAAAAAACGTAATAGCAACCCTAAGCTGCTCCAAATCAATATTCATGTTACTGTAAGACTTTATGTCAACATAACAGTTAAAGAGCATTGGTCTCCAAAATCTACAGATTTTTGTTAGCAGCTTGAATTGTGATTTTAGTGGAGTGAACTGATGCGAAGAGTTATTATTTCCAACTCTCTCACCTGTGCATCCCCAACCAGCTGGCTACACAAAACCCTCACACTATGTTTACCACAGACTAGTATACACTGCTGGACAAACATCGTTTTGTGTAGACTTAAAAATGGCAATTCATTTAAATATTCTGAATAAATTCACTGGTAACACTTAGTACTCATTAAGAACCTTCATTCTTTAGGAAATCCCTTGAAAAGCAGAGACTTTTTTATTCTTTATTTTTCTAAGTCATTAAACAAACAGAACCAAGCCAGAATCCCTGGCAGTATACAAACAACCTGAATATATTTATATACATATAGACTGGATTTCAAACTAACAGGCTTACCTTCAAATCATGTGAGCAGGTAAATTTGTTAAGTAAGGCAGTTTGGATTAGTTCCCATCGACTTCCAGCAGTTCTATCTCCATTCTTTAAAATAAAAGCCCAAAACAAAGTCAAAGTTATTCAAAACATAAAGACACATTTACTGTCTTCTGTAAAATTGTTATGTGAAAAGACTGACCGTATTTAATAGAGGCTGTAAGAATTGTTTTTTTCTGAGTCAACTATCAATAATCATTGTAGAGCTTTTACTACAGGACAGACTTGCTGATTATATTCATCCTAGATTGAAGTACTTCAGTGGTTATGTTTGAGTCTCAAGCAGTGACAAGAAATACTAGACTAATAAAGCATGCAGGGCTACTCTCTGCAATTGTCTTAGCAGAACAACGGTCAGATACACCTCACTATCAGCAAAACCTGATAGAGTATTATAATCAAACTGTGCTTACATATTCATTCACATCTGTTGAAACAGCAAATTGCTTCACACACACAAAAATATATAACATATAAATATGCTAGTAAATAAATGTGTCATTTATAAGGAGTTCAAGTTTACACTCCATGTAAGTACAGAAATATATATATATATCATCAAATCATTGGCTAAGCAAAATAATTACCAGGAAAAAAAAGTCTTCTATTCTATCTGAAGCATCGTGACCCAAAATCCAGTTTTTCAGACTTGATTTTCTAATTCCATAATCAGTCTAACAATTGAGCAAATCCAGTAAACTGAAAACTCATCTATGTGGAAGCAAACTTATTTGATCACACAATTGTAAATACTAAATCTTACCTCATCCTCTACAGGGTATAAATTTTGTTCTGAGCAGGGCATTTTAACATGCTTGTTATCCCACAAATCTTTGTAGTGAGTTGGAAAAGGTTTAGGTACCTCTCCTTCCCTCAGAAGATCTACCTGTAAGACAAAAGGACAGGGAAAAAAAAAAATCAGATTCTACTTTCAAGTTTTTAAATGGAAGAAATAAAAAGTAATCAAAAATACAGTTTAAAAAGCTCTCATCTACAGCCATCCTTTTTGGAAAGGGCAAAGCTACAAATTAAACATAGGATAGCTACTCAGAAAAAAAATCCATCTGTTAACCTCACATTATACTTGTTGATAAGAACACCACCTTAACACACTCAAATAAAGGTAATATATTCAATTACTATATATCAAATCACCAGCTAAAAATTTCCTCATTTATCAATGTAAGTATCTACATATTTTCATCCAAGTATTTTCAAAATGTAGTTACAAATGTAGCCATAGTAATAAGCAGAAATAGTATTTTTAACCTAACACTGAAAGGGATGAGGAACCATTATACAAAGAGCAATATCTCAAGTTTACTCAACAGAACGTCAGAAAAGTAAAAAGAAAGAACACCACATTCTTAAAGACTTAATTTGCTATTCAGCCCTCTAGCAGCACTAGGTCTCTCAGAATATGTATTTAAACTCAATGTTTATCCTTCTTTTGGTTGGGATTTATCCATCACCCCATAGTTTTCTGGTCACATTTTGTTTCAACAATTGGATTGCATACTGCTCCAAAGGATTACAGGAAAACTTATCAGATTTGATCTAAAATGCAGTGGCAAAATTGCAAGAAACTCTGCTTCATTCCTTGTCCTTTCCATATCTTGACTATCTTGAGCCTTTTGTGTGTCTTGAACCCAAACCAGAATCACATTAAAATGAAAACATAGCATGAAAACATTGGAAGTACCAATTTTACTTGTAGACTTATTTAAATATTCCCAAACTTTACAGTTCAGTCAAGGAAGCACTCACAATCCCCCACAAAACAAAAATACTTGCCCCTGAAAAGACAGGGGCAGCAAAACCATTATTGTGTTTCTTCTGGATCTTAATATCCCAAATCTATGGATCAGAATAACCAATTTTCAGGAAAATCAGTTGCCCTAGTCCACTTGCAGGGAATGGCAAGAAATAGTACAAGCAGGATGTCAAAATCTAAGACTAACACATGGGATTTCATATTACTGAACCCTTCAGGCAGAACTCTGACTTGAGGCAATGCAGTGCATTACTGTACCCTGACAGTCACGGTGTGGTTGCCTGAGGGTCGCAGGTGAGGCAGACGGGCCCCACACGCCGGCATCCTTCTCATCTCTTCAATCGGGGTCCCAAACCATTTCTTGTTGGTTGGCAGAGGAGGTGGTGTATATTTAGCAATCTTCCTTCCAGGCCTCTGGGGTTTGAATTCACACTTTTCTTTCCTGCTGTTAAAATACAATACATTGAAACGTTTTACTTCCCCTGAAAAAAACCTGATGGGCACATACAAACTTCCACCCCAGGGTTACAATAATAGCAGTCAGTTTATTTGCCAGCCTTTGCTGCGGCCTCATGTCAAAGCTTTATCTGGGGAGAACTCCCACCAACAACAACCTTCCCCCTCCCCAAGACACACAAGCACATGTCTACCAAAACACTCTTCTCTACAGGCTGACAAAGCTCTTCACAGAACTGTAGTAGGTTAGCAAAGCAGGGTATTCCTCTAGAGAGTCATGCTCTTTCCCAAAAGGATCTGTATCCATGGACAATGCCCCAGTAAAGATGTGCCAAACTACTTTCTTGCCCTACCTGAAGGACTTGAGCCAAGTCAAAGAATTGCATGTTATACCAAAATACAGTCCTTTTGTTTCTGTGCACTCCTTAGATGCTTATTCACTTTCTCAGCTCCCACTGAAATCTAAGGTCTTCAGAGCAGAGCAGAGATTATCCTTTTGTCCTTCCACAACACCTGGCATGCAGGGTCCTGTGACATGCTCAGGGCTCCTGTTCTCATTGCTGCATTGTAATCACCAGTCCTTCTCTCTCCCAAATTATTAATAGAGCCAAACAAAACAATCAAAAAATCCCCACTCAAACCCAAAAAATCAACAAAAAAACCCAAACATCTCTACAACTGCTCTTGAAAGTGAATTTTTTCATGTCTATTTCAACTAAAGAATCAATAGCATTGATAGTTCAACAAAAGAGATTCACTATTTTTGAAAGATCAAACTAATAAGAATTCTAAGAATTGCACTGGACAAACACATCCTTCAAAAACCCTGCAAATAATCCCATTAAAAATAAGTTATTTCAATCTTACGTCAGTTGTCTTTGTATCTTAAAATACATTTTGCAAAACTCTTTATACAATCCAGCCTCTGAAATTCTACCACCAAAGAGGAAATTTCCAAGCATGTAAAAACCAGATGAAGAGGCAGACAGAATGCTACCTTTTCTCCTCAACTTTAGGTATCCTCATGAAGTGAGAAGTGATTTTGGAGTCCCTCTTCACACCCGGTTTTGCACCTTTGCACTCTGATGATGGAGCAGGAGAGATCCCAGGTGCCTTCGTATGCAGACTGTCCTCTTTAACAGAATTATCTACTTCCTCAAAGCTTTCACAGCCCTTGGCAGAAAAACGTGATTTCCTTGACTCCAATTCAGCATCCCCATATTGAATTTTAAAAGATTTGTTTATGGGTTTTGACATATTAATCTCCTCTCGTTCATCCAGAAATGGGCTTGTTTCTTCATCAGCCTCTGACCCATGGCAGCTATTTTTAGAATTATCCACATCCATCGGTGACTCTGGTTCACTTTCTTTCTCAAAAGCAGGCGAGTCCCCTGAATTGCTCTGACATTTGCTCAGTTTCCCAGGATCTCCGAGATCAGATGTACAGGCATCACAACCAGCATCTGAAAGTGGACTTTCTGGAACTACATCCCCTTCCTCTTGTTCACCCATTAAACAGACAGAATTGCAACTCTTCAGCTTCTGTGAATTGCATGAAGCCACTTGTCCATCTGTCTCGACATCTTTTGAAGAAGTTTTTGAATTTCCCGTTTTTGAAGCCCGGCCTGCTGATAGTTTCCTCTGAGTCCAAGTGGCATTGCTTTCTTCACAGGCTTTCTGCTTGCCAGTTTTGTGCATCTGATCAATGTTGGCATTTTTAATGAGGTCTGCAGACTGTGGCCCCTTCATGGGATCTGTATCTAAGACTGTATCTTTTTCCTCAGCCTCCCAGTTACACATGCTGCCTGTCTGCGGCAAATTTACTTGCTTTGCACCAACTTCCACAGATATTTTTGCATAATTTTGCTGACAAGTATTCTCTAGCTTTTTCACATCATGCTCACAAAAGTTCTCTTTTTTAATGGAAGTCATCTTAGGATTTGCTTCAGTATTGTTATTAATTTTGCTGTGTAAGCTGTGGAAGAGAAGTAAGGGAATTCAATGTCTTATTTCCAAATTAAATTTCTGTGCTTAATTTTTTTTTTAAGGAACAATGTTAAACTTAACAGAAAGTACAGATTTTTATTCTATCTACTCTGTAAGTGAGCACTACTAGGACCAACAGCTTTTACTGCACTGAGCTCACTAGCTCAGTGCAGTAAAATCACCAAAGGACGATTAATCACCTGCTTACCTCAGAAATATACTATTCATTCATATCTTTATCTTCAAATCTAAACATTTTGACACTATCATCTAGCTATTTTCTCCAGATTAAAAAAAAATTAGAAATTGTAATAAAGTCCTCCATAACTTCCATTTCTATCCATTAAATACAATGAGCAAGGAAATAATTGGTTTTATGACCATCCCCTCACAGTTATAAATTCACCAAAGAGGGCACAGCAATCCGTAGTCTTACTTTCTTACTCTCTTACTTTCATATAAAGCCCATGACTTCAAGAAAACTCCATACAAAAGTTCAAGTATAAAATGTATTTCAAACCGATAATAAAAAGTAAAAGATGCATAAAAACTTCCTGATTTAAAAAGAACCTGATCTGTCTTCGTGTAAGGCAGGGCAGGATAGAAACATGTCCTAATGGTTACACAGGGAAATTAAATGAAGTGTATGACGAGATGTCAGAAAGTCATTTCACATTTACATACTAATTTATGTGTCAGTGTATTGATAAAGAATTAGAGGACACATGAATATTAAAACAAAAACTGACCAGTCTTGGTGAATACACTACTCTGAACAGTATCTTCTCCTGAATGTGCTGTTACAACACTGTATATTCCTTATGCAAACTGAGCCCACTAAATTCTAGTTATACATCTAATCACTGCCCAGCTTCCCATTTACACTAAATAAGAAAATATACAATTACCACACCATCCTAAATTCAGCCATTGAACATTTTAATAGACTAGAGATTCCTAAAGGCATTAACTTTCTCCATGAAAGGTAACAGATCCTCTTCTAAAAGACCACTCAGGATAAGAAGAGATGATAGCTTGGAACTTCATCCACAGAATGATTATTTGAAAACAAAAGGATCTTAGAGGTCTTTATTTCACAATAATTTAACTTCCAATGTATGCATTTATTCCTGCAAATTTTGATGAATAAAACTAAGAGTTACGGTACTGCTGCCTTCTCAATGACTCTTTAAAGGTACTGCCAATATCTGTTGCCAACCTGAGAAATTGAATCTAACACAAATTTAAATTTGTGATGCTAACTGCAATAGAAAGGCACATAAAATATTTACACAACAAATCTGTTTCTGAAAGTTGCCTGGGCTCTAATCTGTCAGCAGGGATAGAGAAGGGCATAGAAGAACAATACTCTAAAGGGAATATAAAAAAAATAAAATAATTCATTCCCTCCTTAAGAATCCTCTTGACATCCTTGATTTACTGGAAGCTGTAAGCCTCTAATTAGCCCTGCATATTTCTGTATTAATCATTACCACAAGTCCTCACAGCTATTTTTAGCACTGCTATGGACTTAGATCTCTATTTATTAGAAAACATCAAAGAAAAATAAACCAGCACATTTATAACTGCAACTAAAGAAAAATAATATCTGATATTCCTCTGCACCAGACAGTTAAATTCTCTGGAGTATAACTTTAAGGCAGTTTTGCAATCACTGCTCCTGACAGAACACATTAACCAAAAATATCAAACGTTACCTGGTACCATTCAGCAGCAAAAATTTGTAACATGTTTCATATAAAAAACCTCAAGGCACATGACCACCTGTAAATCCTGTCTATAATTAAATCAAGCTGCACATATTTAAGCTACAATTGCAGTCCAATGAGACAAACCAAAACAGATTTTTGTCTGTAAATTAACAAAACAGTGAGCTGGCCACAGGACTATCAATGCAAATAACTGTAACTGTTAGTGCCCTATGTCAAACAAAAATGAAAGCAGAACTTGACTAACGACATAGTCTGATATTACAACTAAATTGATCCAGTGTTTGGCTTCCACTGGAAGCAGCACTCCCACTTTGCCTTCCCTTGCTCCATTTTCTCACCTGAACAGTGACACGCTTCAGGAATCTATGTCAGCAATAAGTTTGGACTTGGGTGATTAGAGAGGATGGGTGGGGGACTAGTTAGTTAGCTGTTTGTTACTCAAGATAATGTGCCAAGGTAAGGAAAGCAGCAGAAATGGGGCTGCCTCCATTTAGCCAGCTGTACTGGCAACCTGCACTTCTGGCTCCCCCTAGGGCCCCTCAAAGGACACAACTTTTGAACAGGTTTATGTTGTGCTTTTTACCTTCTGGACTCCGTTGTCTTGGGTCCTTTATTCTCCAACCAGCTGGTAATTGTCCGCTGTTTACAAACTGAAAAACCACAATTCACTGTTATTACATGAAACATGATAAAACTGCAACATCATTGCATATAAAAAAGATAACTTGTACTGGGTGAAGATAAAAACACCTCCAATTAATCTCTTATTAGCATCTCTACTACAGGGAGCATCCAGACACTAGCACTATTAAAACTGCATGTAATGCAATGTTTAATTTGCATCAGTCAGCAGCTGTAGGTTTTTTAAATAAACCATACAATTTCCAGGCATGGTGTAGTGGAATTTGTTTCATCCAGCCTCTTTTTAAAATACAGTTAAAAGGTTAAAAATATACAGTGAATGTGTAGAACTAAAAACAAAGGAACTTGAACTTTCTAGTGCTCACCATTACCTTTAATCACCACCACAGTGAGCCCCAAAAGCTTCTGATGAATTTTGGAATGAAGAGGCAACATGACATAACTTAAAATCAATAAAGAATAAACAACAAGGCATCTTTGATGAACCATCCAAGAACTTTATTTGCATGTAGCATACTGTGAAACATAAGGCTCAATATAAACATAACACACACTAGAAGTACGAAAAGGACTTTTTATTTTCTCCTCTATCCATCAACAGCTTGAAAACCTTTTCAATGCTTACTCCCCTAAACAGCAACAAAACGAAGGACACAATTTCTTCAGATTTACTATCAATAACAGAGTTCCAGTTTTATCTGTGTGTTGCTGCAGCTCAGACAAGCTTTCAACAGAACAGCATCATGTAAACTGATTATGGAGAGACTCTGGGGGTGGAACAGGGAGAAAAAATTCAAAGCAGTTCTTACAAAACTAGAAAAAAAAGTTTTTGTAAGTAAAAAGGGTGTTTAGTTTTGTTGTTTTTATTTAAAGATATTCTGCAAATTTGGCAACTAGCTTCAATACCCTTTCTTTCCATTTGCCAAGAGAAAGCATCTCCCTGCCACTGCTGACTGTGCAAGGAGTTTGTTCACTGCTTTCAACTGGGTAGAGAACAGCTGGAGTACCTTATTGTAACAATAGTTGTGCAGAACTTCGAAACCAGCAAATCAGATCTGGCTCTTCTGAGTATGGGAAGTCTCAGCAGTGTTCTGCAAATGGAGGTTGTGTAACTTGTAACAAAGATGGCTTAGGCCATAGGTAACTTAAGAGACATTGTTTCCTAAACACTTCCCTAGCATTCAAGGCCATCAACACTTTTATACAGCTGCTTATCAAATACCCTAATCAGAGGACACCGTAATTTTTAGAATGAGAAGTAATCTCCAAAAAATATTGAAATTATTTTCTGCTATTCCGTAATGGCACAAACAACAGTGCAAAACTGCCACCATGTGACTGGGTTACCAGGAAGCAGTGCCAAACTGGATGTAGGCTACAAGGATACCTGTGCCATAATTAGCCACAATCATAAACAAGTCATGAACAATCAGCTTTCCTCCACTCAGACACAAATACCAGACTGACAGATTTTATTAAAAAAAAATATTTTTATTTCCAAAGATTCACTAAATATAAGTCTAGTAGTCATGCTGATTAGAAAATTTCACCTTCTTATACTATTTGAAGTGTTAATCCAAATTGCCTACAGGTAAGCAGCCAGAAAAAAACCCAAAAAACAAAACAAACAAAAATCTGAAGAGACATGTTAAAACATGGGACAAATAAACCTCTTCAAAGGCAGCTGACTACCTCTTGAGGTGTAAACTTGTGCTAAGAAAGAAATATTTATTCATTAGCGCAATAAACAGAAATAATGACAGCAGCAGCAGAACAGAACAAAATGGCTTTAGTTTGGACTTCAACATGTGAGCAGCCATGTAAGCCCTCCAACCAACAAAACACACATCACTTTCATACTTCCAGCATGGCTTTTTGCTACAGATAAGGTGGTGAAAACAAGAGGCAACAAAAAGACAACACACACTTATTCTCAGTGTAAACAGAACCAGATTTTGCTGACATTTTTTTTTTCCAATGGCATCTTTATTTCTACTCAAAACTCCCCAAACCATTCCCATAAAACAAATCATCTCCTACAATCTACCTAATTTTCAGACGATTGTAATTTACTCTGTAGGAGTGTACACCACTAACACCAAACTATCATCTATTCAAAGTTGCCTCTTAGGAGTCAGTGAGTTAGTAAGGTTTAACTATTCAGCTGCAGATGACAGCAAATCTGTTTGGGCTTTTTTTCCCCTTCCACGCACTCCTTTCTATTCCTGAAAGAGGTGCATTAAAATTTTATTTTGGCAGCGTTAGCTCCAAACAGAAGACAAAACTAAGGAAACCACGTGGGAACTTGGTCTACACAGCTTTGTTAAGAGGCAGGAGCCGCCACCCCACCCCAAAGGGCCAGCAGCGCTCCAAGCTGGCAGCCACGTGCTTGTGTGAGCTCCTGTCATTAGTCTTGGCTCTCCCTGTGTGACAGCCTGGCACAGCCCCCGCCGAAACCCTTATTTCCCGCAGTATTTGTCCCCCTTCTTGCGGAACACGCTACATTTTGCGGCTCACACCTCTCTTCGACGATTTGCACTCTCAGTGGAAACTTGCAAAGAATCAGGCACAAAACCAACATAACGATCCTGCACCCAAAGCCGTCTCTAAGGGGAACCAGCGCACACTGACCACACCAGCGGGCTGGGATACAGGGGACACGCTGGCACCGGGAAGCGAAGTTAGAGACAATTCCAGCCCAGAGAGGAAGGGCAGCTCCAGGCAGGCTCCGTGCACAGACACATGCGGCCTCCGCCGTCCAACGCTGCCCAGGCAGGCAGCAGCACGGCAGAGCTGCCCTGAGCGCCAGAGCGGGACACGGCGACTCGGAGCCTCCGGCTCGGTCGCCCCCTCCTCCTCCCGCCCAGGCCCCGGCGCGACCCCGACG